TTGCATTGATGCAGGCCATATACATAGCTTGACTCCAGAGTATTCTGAACCATGTCTGTGCATTACTGAACATCAATTCAAGTTTTAGACACAACTGCACTTTGGAATTCAAGGGTATCAAGAGAGGAAAAGCTTGGGAAGGAGTCTGTATTTTATCAGCAATTGCACACGCTCTCACTGTGGAAATCTGTTGGGTCCAGGTGATCCTATTGCTTTCTTGTGAGGACCAGCACAGTAATGAAGTCTGGTTCTGTCACAGTGACAATGGGAATTGTGCTGTGGCTTCACAAAGGGAACTGGAGATGCCCAAATTTCCCTTCCATATGTTAGAAAATATGGATTGGACTTTGCGTTGAGTGCAGAATTAAAGATCAATCCCATATATTTTTAAACATGAAAAAATAAGAGGAATAAAAATGTTTTACTTCCTAGTCCTAAAACAATTCACCCAAAGTTACACATTCTCCTGAAAAACATAGTATGAGCCATGAGTCTTAAATGAAAAAGTATCCAAGCAGAGTGTTGGAAAAATTAATCATTTAGGAAGCATATGCATCTCCTGGGCAGAGTCAGGTCTCTCTTCTTCAGCATGGCTTGCAAAAACAGTCCATACAAAGGGCTTTCTTTTCTTTTGGAAACTGGTAACGGGCGTGGACCAGGTGACTTCTTTGAAGTAAACTGGGGATTTTTCCTGGGCACTATGGAAGAATCTATAATGAGTGTCTCAACAGCTACTCTATTAGGCAGGTCTCTTCCTTTAAAGGATCTTCTGATAGTTATTTTTACATCTGTGCTTATGTATCTGGAATGATTGTAACCAAGACTATCTCATGGATAATATGACAGCAAAGGCTTGTTGCTGCACACAGGATATTGCAAATAGATTCTCAAAGATTCTCAAGGAACCAAGCTCCTTTTTCTTCATATCATTAATTTTTAATCCAGCATATGTAAATCTAGTTTTCTAGTAAGACATCATGTTTCTAAATGGAAGGTGGCAAAACAGTCTTCTAGAGAATCAGGCCTTTTGACTACTGACAGATGGATATAAATCTTGCATTGTTTTCCTCTGTTACTGATTTTTTTTCATTGGCAAAATGGTTTTAAATATTGATAAAAGTTCATCTTTCTTCCTGCACTCCCCAGTTACAATCTGATGCTGTGTCGGCTGTGATGGCAACATTGGTTTATGTTATTCCTGCCTGTAGCAATCTACTGTTCTACTTTCTCAGCCATGATATTACAAATCCTTATGTGGTTACAGTGTAAACAAAAGCAAGGAACTGGAACAGCATTTTAAAATAGTTTCTAGATCTGATCAATTCTCAGGTTCAAGGAGAGCAAGCCACTGCTGTGTTACTTGTCATCAGTGGGGCAAAATGGTTGGAGTGGGAGGAAACAGATGGAATAGCAAGAATGGGCACTGCTGTAATGGCAGCCTATCGTGATACTGTGCCTTGGCAAGTATCTGTTGGAGGTTTTTTGACTGGCTATTGCTAACCTTCATTTATTGGTATTAAAAATTTCCTAGAAAGAAATGTATGCAAAGTGTCCTAAATTGTGAAGGACTCTTTTGGATTTCAGAGGAATTCTTAATATGGCTTGGCTTGGCTCCAAGCCTTTTAGGCAGCTACAGTTGGGTTAGAACTTGTGAACTGGTTCATGATGTATGTCTCAGGCAGGACTTTAGGAAAAGCTTTTCTCTCCTCATTTATCTTCTGTAAAATGTTTTGACCAGCTCTTGTTCTGTCTTAATCCTTGCCTTTGTACAGACAGCACCTCCTTGCCCTGGTCTTCTGCACCTACCATCACCTGTCCTGCTCCAGTCCTGCTCTTCCTAGAGAGTGCTTGGTGCCCTTCTGGGTTATGATGACATTCATCCTGGCTCTAGTTAAACTGAGTATTTTCCTTGTCCTCATGAGGACTTTGATTATTAGTTCCAGCCTGACTTGACCTCAGATTCTTGATTCCTGCTGCAAGCCATTGCCATTGCCTCGCTTGGCTTTGGTAGCTGGGTACAAGGGTCCAGGACTGTCAGGTTGGTTGGCTTATAAATATGCCCCCAAAAGAGACATTTTTACTCTGTCTCATAACTTCATCTTACTCTTCCAAAGATTAGTTTTGTCCCAGAGGCAGATTTTGTCGTTCTTCCCCCCAGAGTGGGGAGATCTGACTGTTATCTTAAGGGTTCTCATAACAGATATGAAAACCCACAAGATATTTGTACTGTGAATGGTTCCAAAAGTTTCATCATTGGTGCTGCTGCCTAAAAGATTTGAAAATTAGTAACATGTTAGCTCAACTCATCAGAGCCTGGTGCTAATAAATGTCAGTGTTACAAGCTTATACCCCATGCAGGCCATTCACTTAAGAGTTGACTTGATGGTCCTTGTGGGTGCCTTCCAACTCAGAATATTCTGTGATTTCAGTTTTCTCAGCCAATGCCACCTACTTTTATTATTCCACATCAGATCATGTATCTCCTTCATGCTGTGGACAGCTGTTTGAGGACTATCAATGCAGCAGGATCTGAAGATTTGCAATGACCTCATGTATTCTGATTAAATGGCAGGTACTTCTGCTCCTTCTGTCTAGTTTTCATAGCTCCAGTCAAGTCTGTCCTTAAATGTGTGACATGTCCTTGCTTTGGAGCTTGCTGTACCTCTGCCACCAGTTCTAGATGTAGTCCAAGATATTTCAACTCACACAGGAATTTTAAAAAACTTTTTGGATCTAGGTATTGCAAAATTTGTTGATTGTAATCTAGGACTAAAAAGGTCTGATTTGATGGGTCAGTACTTGGAATAATCAATCATGAAATCACAGAATGGTGTGGGTTGGAAAGGACCTTAAAGATCCTGTAGTCCCAACCCTGCTGCCATGGGCAGGGACACCTTCCTGCCAGGTTTCTTCAGGCCCTGTCCAACACGGCTTTGACCAGGGCCAGCGATGGGCATCCACAATCTCCCTGGGCAACCCATTCCAGTGCCTCAGCATCCTCACAGTAAGCTTCTTGCTAACATCTAGCCTAAATTTCCCCTCTCTCAGTTTGTACCCACTCTCCCTTGGCCTACCACCACAGTTCCTGACGAAGCCAGGCAGAAAGGCCCGGAGGCATCGTTTGGAAGAGCTCTTGCCTGCTGCGTGGCCTCAGGGGCTGGGGCGCATTGCCGAAGTGCAGGCACTGCTTCTTAATTATCACAGAACCTCCCTGCAGGCATAAAAGTCCTGGCCTCACCCAAGTAACGACTAATGGCCTTTTTTCTTTTTGCTCACTACATTCTTCCCAGAATACTCTTCAGACCCTGCATCCGAAGACTGTAAATAACACAACCCCCGCGCTGTCTGTGCCCTTCCCGCCCTACGAGCCGCTCTGAGGCCGGGGTGCCAAGGCACCCGCGAGCTTATGGCGAGGCCGTGAGAGGAGGGAAATGGGCACTTTTCAGTGTCTTCTCCTCGCACCGGCACGGTGGGAGCCCTGCGCAGTTCCACGAGGGACGAGGAC